TTCCTGCTTTGACAGCTATTTGTTTCTTTAGTTGAAAATATTCTTTCTACCTTTAAACCAGCTGATTGAAGGGAAAAAAAAAAAAAAAAAGAAAACAGCTAAAGCAGGTACGGGGCAAAAGTTTTTCGAGTGTATGCCTACACGCGTCGGCGTATACGTGCAGGTGTACCGTACGCACGCGGGGTGAATGGAAACGCGCGAATATACAGTTTCTGACAGTTGAGCTGTTGGATTATGCCGGAGTTTTCTCCCTCCTCTGGTACCACTTGTGATCTCCCGTACATATTATATATATACCCTGACAGGGTATCGTTTGCCCCGTACTCCACCACTTCGGTCTTTTTTTTTTCACCGTACTATTTTGACCGGCGTCAGTTGAGTTTTGGCTGGATATTTGTATTTTATTATACACACGTGCACCTTTGCACGGAATCGCAGAGCAAGGGGCAGGTTGCTGACATACGTGTTTTGAATGTCAACTTCGGGATTTTGACGTGAGAGTATAAGTACCCCGTTCGCCCTCCCCCTTGTCCTAGTGCTCCTCCCGTTCGTGTTGTGTTGAAATTCCGGAGGGAATTTAAACTCACCTCCGGAGACAAAATGTTGCGACGCTTAAGCTCGGCCATGATTCATTGGGCTTGCTTTTTTTCAACACTTGTTCTTCACATTTGTTCCGTCACATTCAATATTACTCGTTTTAGTACATTAGGCTTGGTATTTTTGTACAACTATTTGAACTGGAATATTTTGAAGTTTATTAGAATGTTTGGACATTTTTTATAATTTGAGGTTGTAAGGTAAAGGACCCAATACTCGACCACAGTATTTATGTCATCTGCACATGCCCAAAAGTGAAATTTTTTCATCTACAGATGTTGAGAAATAAAAAATGTACCCAGATTTAGGTGATCGACTTTTGGGGTGAGAAAGGTACGTTTGTGAATTCTTTAAGGTTATTAAATGTTATAATGCGACTTTTTTTAGTTGGGTCACGTTATTATTATAATTATTGTTATTATTATCATTTTATTATTAATATTATTATTATTATTATTATTATTATTGTTATTCAAATGCCGGGAAACTAGGTGACTTTCACTCACAAAAATGTATGACTATAAAAGCATCTCATTCGATAGATATTCACTATTTTTACCGAGATACCTTGGACTAGAATAGTACTTCTTGTAGAATTTATAAATTCATGATTTTATTATACAGTATGTAGTAAGATCACTGAGATCTCACCCCTCTACACATTCAACTTATTTTTAAATGGAAGTTATCTCATAATGAAGTTTATATTAAATTTACTCGTTTGCCTGATAGTGGCGTGATAGATGAAATCTTACTATTGACTTTCAACCTATTTCTAGATTAGCTAAAATATTTTTTTTTCTAACAAACGGTAACTATACAATTTATTGGCAATACATTGTAGGATGAACGTATTGCACCCAATTCCTTTTTTTATTTAGTTCTTGTAAATTTCCAATCGCAAATATTAAAAACAGATCACGTTAGCTGTAATCCCTTTAATTTCTCCGACCGCCCATGGTTTGTCTTACTATACTCGCCTGATTCTACTAAATTTTGAAAACAATGGATCCCTACATAACAGAAGTTAATCCACTGTTGTTGACTATTTCATTTAGGTGTGGATCAAAATCACGACTAAAGTGGAACACACATTTAAAAAAAAAAACTATTTTTATAATGAACCTTAAAGTATAAATAATTGGTTTTATGCATGATTAATAAAAGTGAGGATCTCAAATGGTGTATATTCTCATAAGTAAATATACCTGTGGGTTATAAATTGAGTTTGATAAAGTAATACCAGAGTAATGAAAATCTCCATATTTTTTTTCATTATATGTCATACACATGATGCACAAGTGGTGAGTAAGGAAATCAATTACGTGATGAAGGCGGGGAAAAAATTTTGTGTGGGAAAAGTTCAGGGATGGGGTGCACACGGGACGAGTATACTCACGGGAACGAGAAATCGTCGCACTTCGGCGAGAGCGTAAGCGATCCTGGCGTGGGCCTCCGCTGGCGTCGCGTAAGCGGATATCTCGACGTGCAGATCCTCCATCAAATGCGAGAACTTTGGGTCCCCGCTCACCCTTAATTCCTCCTCCTGCGGGCCAACATTAAATTCTCATGGCGATACATCATGCGAAAATGGAAATAGATTGGATGCGCGTTGCTGTGGGCAAGTGAGCAAAGATACAGCAGAAAACAAAAAAAAAACAAAAAAATGACGCACGCTAGCTTTATGGCGTATTGTATAAACAGTACGTGCTAGTGGGAAACGATGGGGGTGCTCTTTGAATTATTCATCGGATAAGCGGTTGGAAATCGGAAAGCTATGTGTGCGCGGGGAATCTTTGAAGCAATGCTATTGGTTTCGAAAGGAGGTGGCACAGGCTGCGGATTTGTGGGGAAATAGTTCGAAAAACAGAAAAACATGGCACACGGGAGGGAATCTTCTTTTATTTTTCAAAAGTTCGCGAACGAACCAATGCTTTTTTTTCCATGCGTTGAAAACATCCGATGGTTTTCCTTTTTTAAATGCTTTTAAAGATACTTTTAAAGACATTTGTTGTTATCAAAGTGTTTTTCTCGAGTGAAGAACTACTTTGACGTTGATTACTTTCATTAGGCACCGAAGTATTTTAAATAAAAAAAACATTGGAATTCAGGTAAAGCCTCTTTTTTGAGTATTTAATTGACTGATGCAGAATCGCATGTATTTAAGAGAATGGACTTTTGAAAAATTAATTTCAAGCTAAAAAAAATATAATAAAAATTGTAAAGGAAAAAAAAGTCACAGTTTTGAGTATCATGAGTTGTATAAAAAAATTGTTTTTAATTATTTTTATTTATTGACAAAACCTGACATGTTTTAAATTAGACCCAATCCACTTGGGTTGACGAAACATTATATTAATTGAAAAATTGCAGTATTACTTGTAGTAAGAAAGATTTGATAAAATGACAAATGCGTTTTACTTTCTGTTAAATTTTACTTTACAAATTTTCTGACGAGGATACAAGTAAAAATGCACTTAGAAAATAATAAAAAAACATCTAAATTAAAGAAACTTACAATACCATAACTCAGCGTTTTACAGTCTGTTGAAAGTGCATGCTAATACAACGGTTTTAGTTCACAAACAAGCGAAGCAGCATAATTTAGTTACCGGATTATAAGATCTAGGGGTGAGTGAGTGAGAGAAAGACAAAAGAGCGCTTGCAAAGCATGACTACGTGCGTGTGCGTGAATTACCTTTTGCCTGTCTTTCATGGAACCTCGACCGAGCACAGCCATTTTGCACATTGTATCTTCCTGCAATCGTTTTAACGAATTTCCTTTTGGCCCTAGGAGTTTGCCGACGAAATTAAACTAATGAACAGAACGTTGTGTTTGCCATTCCCAAGTTTTTCATGTAAACAAACAAAATAACACATAATTTTCAATAAGTTTACTTCAAGAAATATGTTTTTCACATTATACCTGAACAATCAAAACTTGGATGGACGTACAATTTTTTTATTTTTTTTATTTTGAGAATGTATTTTCTTTTTATCTAATTATTCTATATTATTATTGCTTAAAGAAAACAAAGCAATAATAACGCGAATATAGCTACATGCCGAAAAACATTAGGTGTTCTATTATTTCTATATTTCTTTCATAGTGAAAGAAAAAAGTATACCAGAAGTAGCAACCATTGTCTGCTTTGGTCCTAGGATTGTGAGATTCCTTATGTCTCACATTCTGAAAAATGTCTTTTCATACATCCTTATCTTTACATGGAAATCTTACTCCAACAAACAATATTCATGGACATTGACTAAGAAGCTATACAAGTGAGATTTTTTTATCCTTGTAATTGTAAGAAATTTCTTTAATTTACGCATCACTATCTAGGCGTCTTTTAATAACCCATGAATATAATAAAAACCGACAAGTTGCAGAATACAAGCATCAATTCGCAAATGGCACAAAAAATTATTTTGCGTACATGCTCATCAGTTTTTTATTCTATTGTTTATAATTTTACCTGTAAGGATGACGAGTAAAATGGAAAAGATTAAAAAACGTTTGTATGGCTTCTTGGTCTTGGTAGGTAAAGATCAGTAAAATGTGTAATTATCTGGAATCAGATTTGGACATCATGAATAAAGATGGGGATAATGGCTTTTGTAAGATCTAAAGATTAAAAAAAATAAAATAAAATAATAATCTTTTTCGCGGAGACGTAAATGAAAAAAAAAATCAAATTGTTAATTGAAGAATAAAATAAATACTTGCATTCACCGAGCCATCACAATTATGAACGAAAAAACAAAGAATACATCAAGAAACAGCCCTTAGATCAGAAAGTCCCATAGACAAAAAACACCATCTCCTATCAGACGCTGATAAAAGACTGCTTGTATCTTCCAAAATGGCTTGATAAATGAAGCAGTGCTCGAATTACTTTTCATCAAAGTGGTTTGGATGGATGGTGTCTTTGTTTTCATCGATCAACGAGATGGTATAGTAAAGGGAAAAGACAAGCCTCACCTTTGGATGATCGCGTACGGGAACTTGCACCCTGACAGCCACTTTGATTGGCTTGTCTCTGGTAATGTCGACCATTCTCCTTTCGTTGCTGTCGTAGCCATTGCTCCTGGAGCCTAGTCTCACCCCACCATTGCTTGGATCTGCAAAGAAAAAGATTTAACGGTCAAATGACACGTTGGTACCATACTTTTAATTTTCAAATGATTCATAAAAGCTCAACATCCGAACTGTAGCTGGGATTCATCGAATCTCCACTATTGAAATTTTTTTCAACGAATTTCCAGCTACGACTAGTATACATCAGCCATCATGAATATCAAAAAGCTACACCGAACCCTACACCAACTATCGTTTTACATGCGAAGGGGCGCCTAGCTGGTATATCTCATTTTCAATATGGGATCAACTTTCACCCTGACTTCTTAAACTCGTATTACCCCAGCGTTTAAAGACCAATTACGTCGTCGTTACATTTTGAGTTTAATGGACGAAGCCATTAAATCGACCGACATGGTCGTAAAAACAACACCCGTGGTGCCCATCAGAAACGCCATTATCCTAATAAAGAAGAATATGGGCCATCCAACGCAGAGAGCCGTCACTTTTGTACAAAAGCACGAGCCTCGTGCTGCAAACATGAAAGGGGAGAAACTTCTCTTGGGGGTAGTGCATTCCCTTCACTTCACCCTGGCCTACTCGAGAACAAATGGCATTATCATCGGCCGTCGAGAAAAAAGGACAGAAGAGGAAGTGAGTATACCCGTGAAGAGGAGATGCAGAAAAAGCGAATTACCCGCGTCATTAGCAGCGCAACTCCTCGATCGTTATAAGCGTCTTTCCGGCCCTTTCCCTGTAGTCCTTTTTTCTCCCATGTTCGTTTCGCTCCTTTCGCACTGCACGTACGAGTTTCATACATATACGTATCCACATTGCTTATCCGAACACAAAGGGAAGGTTGGTTGTATCACGTAGGCTCGAGCGCGTTAATGTCATCGCAAAGAGAGAGAGTCTGATAACTCCTTCAATCGGAAATTCCCTTTTTCGTTCTTCTTGTCTCTCCCTCCTCCTCCTTTTGTCGCTCGAGTCTAACAATAGTGTACTATAGCGGAATCATTATTCAGAGGAGCTGCCGAGGACGCCTCTCACTATCTTGGTTACAATTCATCGTTTTCCCACTCCCTTCCACTCTTACGTTTTCTCTTCGCAGTATGTTACCAATGTACATAGAAAATACCTCAGATTTCGGGGTGGACCGAGGATTGGTTTGAAGTATTTGGACAGAAAGCATGGGTCGGGGAGTACTTATAGACAATGATCTGACAATTTTGTTAAAACTTGGAGAATATGTTGTAGAAGGTTGTATTTAACTTTAGGTAGAAGAGAGTGTTTTCAAAGTTCCTTCAAATTGACCTAAGTCAGGATTTCTCATGAATCATGAGTCATGATTCATTCGAATAACTGGAAGTGTTAAAAGCTATATGTCATATTCGAGGTATTCAATACTAAAACTCGACTTTTTATAGTTTTTTTTACCTTCTATAAAATAATATACTACTATCTCCTTCAGGGACTAATGCTTTCCACAATCATGAGTAGGATTTTACACAAGCAACGTGTACAATCAAAACATATGTGTTGCCAATATAAACATGTACTCGCGTGAGAATTGATGACTCTGAATTAATACAAACACGTCTTTATGATGGTAAGTAAAGTTTGCGTGAAATTTTACGCGTTATTGTAGAAAGTGCCTGCCTACCGTACAACTAACGCTCTGATGGGTGCTGAGAAATTTACTCATTGTTGTCCATTGCATATCCAAAGATTACCATTTAAGCGTTTGTGCAAGGATAATTGCAGATAAATGTTCAGACCGGCAGGATAATCCAATGGTCTTTCATTGCAATTGCTCAGAGGTATCGTCGTGCAATAGTTTTTCTCCAAAAAACTTAAAAAATTTCATCAACCAAGAATCATAGTCTCGTGATATGGCTATCTTCGAGGTTTCTTATTAAATAAAAATGAAAAAGAAAATTCATTTATACCATATTCTACATTATTATTAATGTATCCATGAAACTTCAGCATATACTTCATCATTTATTTCGGATGATAACTGGAGAATAGATCACAGATGAAGATGTACCTTACACTTCGATCAGTGTACGAAAGAAACAAACGAAGGGAAAATCCCGTGCGCCTCCTCGTGACTAACTAGCACAGTATCCTATCGAGCAGCCATAGCCGGATATATTTGCTGTAGCCATTCGAGTACAGCTCGGATTGCGACGGATTGATTTTGTCATAATTGCGTTTACTCGGCCCTTTACTTTGCTGGCACTGGCTTGTATTGCTTGCACCGGCGTGCTTGCCAAGCCAACAAACGCTAATGGAATGAATAACGATTCGCATCGGAGGCTCGTACGTACGATTATGTGCATGTACACACACGTGTTCTGCTTATCGGTAAATAAATATTTGAGATGTGTGGCCATTGATTCCGTTGTTAGATAAGCAGATCGCGTTGGTCATTGTCAACACCGCTGTTATGTAGATGGTCAATGGTATTGATTCCATTGAAGTTATTGAAGCCTTGATCGTGTGTACCCGCTGATAGGTGGATTACCGTATAGTTATTGAATATGACTGAGCTAAAGATTTTTCACCCTGAGTATATTTTTCATTATGATTTTTCAAATTATGTGTATTATGTACGTGAATTATGATGTTTATCGTTATGAAAGTCTTGAGAATTATTTCAACTTACAACGACTGCGATCATTTAATTTTTTTACTTGAAAAATGGAGCGATTAACATCAATATATTACGCAATTAAAACTACTGCACATACGTTTATAATTTTCGCATGAGTATGAGTTGTGTTGTCTAAGCAAAGAGGAGGTATATAAGTCACATTAGTGTGGCTATCATAATTTCAACTTGTAGTACTTTTTTGGGCATCAGTGTGCAAATATCTAGGAGTAAAACTATTACTCCAACTATTAGTGAGAAAAATCATCACTTCACAAACGATGTTGGAATTCCAATACTTCGTATGGTGTGAGCAGGCATAAAAAGTTGAACTTCACATTGAGTGTCAAAATAGTATATTACGTACCAAGGGACTAAAGCAAGCCAGTTCGTGGCTGTTGTAGTGTGCGCCCGAGCGTAGCGAGGGCGCTACAAGCAATAGCCACTCGCTGGCTTGCTTTAGTCTCGCGGTGCGTATACACTTTTATATCACACTCAGTGGAAAGTTCGTTACATTGAGAGGGAGAGAGATAGAAGGAAAACAAGCCATTCATTGTGGGTTATAGGTTATATCACAAGAGTTTTTATAATTGTTTCCGATTGTGATATTTAGGATATTCCTGTATTTTTGTATAAAATATGGCAACAGTTTCGACAGTCATGTTTGAAGAGGATTCTTCTGACGAAGAAAACTTTAACGAGGATAAAGTAGGGGAAGGAAGAGACTTTGACTGTGAACGAAATACCATTGTTCAAAATTTACTTCCCATAAAATCGAGAGCATTATATGAATATGCATACGCTCGATTCTTACAACGGAAGCATAAGAACAAGGACCTAATTATTTAACTCTTTTAATGAATGTGTTTCGAAATGTAATAATTTCAATAGTTTATTATACAAGATTGATAAAAATGAAGAACTGTAAAAATGCAGTTATTATTTAAAAATGTGTGAACAAAGAAAATTGTATAACAATTTTAATTATTTCCATTTGTTCAGAATCTCATGTTTTTTTTGTATAAAATACACCAGCAAACAGTACATTGGCTTCTTTTATCTTGTTGATATTTCCCAAAATTGTTTGTTTACTGTAGTGTGGCGCCCTCGCTATGTTCGAGCACCGAACTACTTCAGGCACTTATTGGTTTATGTATATAGTAATATACAGTAAGATATAGATACGCATGCGTACACGCACTTATTACACAGTTTCTGTCTCTGTATACAGGGAGAACAGTACGAACTTTACGCTTAGTGTGATATAAAGGTTTTTTGATTTCACTTTTGTAGTACTTAATTAAAATAGCATATATATGTAGTATCAATAAGTGTGCAAGACCAGTGTACTTTTTGTATAAAATATTTTTGACACTCTGAGTGATTAAACTCAGGTAAATTGGATTTGAAATGAGTTCAGTGAAAGCTTGAATTGAGTGCATCCTGAATCTAATCCATCATGTACTGGATTCATCATAAAAATTGTCAATTTTTCCATAGTTAGTATCTGGATCTTGAGGTTAAGATCATAATATTCGTTTTTCGTACCATCATCAGAGAATATAGGATGTATCTCTTGGAGATATATATTCTATATTCTCAACCATCATCTTTATTTTGGTAAAGAAAAAAAATTATGACCTAAGTACAATGTGGAAATTGTAAAGCTTTGTTTCTTTAGTATGTTACGTTGTAAATATTGTTAAGTTGTAAATAGTTATTATCTTTTTGCACTTATAAAATAGGATGAATGGAATTACTTTATTTTTAATAGACTTGGATTCTAAAAAAAACCTATTTAATGGTACTTTTATGCCAAATCAAAGAATTGTTTCTTTAAATTTTTTAAGTTTTCGTAAAAAGTAGTGGAAAATAAATAAGCTTAAACCTAGACTCCTTCAGAGAGAAACTTTGAGTCAAAAATTCCTGCTGAAGTTGGTTTACAAAACGCAGGTACGTAGTTCAAATTCCCTCACAAATTTTATGTAACATGAAAGCAAACTTTCAAAGTACTTATTTTTTCAAATTAAAAAAAAAAAAAAAATTAAAACTCCCGCAAAACTAAAATCCATTTCCACGCGTGGAGCTTTTTTTCGCAAAACAGTGCCCCGCACTCACAGAAATACGTCGAACCGGCAAAAATTAGATTCCCATCTCGAAATCCAAAAGCGCAAGCTTCTACCCACACAGGTACACTCTGGTGTGCAAATACCACGAACACGTTCGTCTACGAACCCATCTGTCGAGCGACCCCGTCGAAAGGGCAAAATTGAAAAACCCAATCACTCATCATCAGCTGCCATCAATGAAGCTCCTGTGCATCCACCACACCCATATGCACACGTGGAAGGGGTCCATTGCATTACACGAATCACCCGCTCATCTATC